ATAAGCCTGTCAAGTAGTTGTATATCAAACTGGTGTATTTATTTGTTTTACACTCACCAAAAAGAAACCTATCATTCTATAGGTATTTGAAGAACTTGTAGCAATCCGCCACAATTTAATTCTTCGTATTGTTAGCTGACACTGGGCAGTTTGTACATAATTAAAGTTGTTTAAACATTTGTTGTTAAACAAATGTTTAAACAACTCTATTTATTCAATTATGAATTATCAATTATGTTGTTACCGAAAGCGAGACCCCGTGTTTGTTTGTAAAGAATATCATCAAATTTCAAGTTGTCGTTTGTCAAGACGTAGGGGAGATTATTCTCGACCAGTTGAAAAGGTAAATCAAAAGTACTGTGTGGAAAGATGGCAACAACATCCAGAATGAATAACACGGTGTTAGGGCCAATAAAGTAGTCATCATTCCTTAATCTGTTGATGATGTCAAGGGAACTGTATATGTGCGGGCACGTCATTGGGGAGCGTAATGCTTTCTCTAAAAATTTAAGGAGCAACGGGAGAAATACACGTAGAAACTATGGACTTGAAAGGTATGTCTTTAGTTCTGTCCTCGAGACGTTTAGTTGGGTCCTTGCTGAAAATCTCCACAGTAGGATTATTATTAATGTGTCGTATTTTTTCTGCGTAAGTAGTTTCCTTCTTTATAACAAAATCTTTGCATTTACCACTATCTATCACAATTAATTTTTCATTATTTTTCAAATCTTTGATAGAAGACCATTCGTTTTTAGAAATATCTGTAACCTTTGAGATAGACGTAAACCAAAACGTTAGGTTTGAATAAAATATTTGCTTTTCTTTTTTGCAAAAATGAATATAATATTGTTTAATGACACATATATGATCTGGTTTAGGTTTATGACCGGCTCTGTAGCTTTAATTTCATTGGCAAACCGTGCTTTTTTTATTTATTTTCTTGACTTGGTATTGATCCCAAGTGCTCTACCAACTGAGCTAAAGGGTTAATCTCCTAACAGCTGCTGGTAAGGCACTTATTAAAAACTGAGACCGCCACACATCTGTACAGCTAAAAATATTCTATATTGCCCCTCATCCTTCTGTATGTGCTAAATCTGTAAGCTACTCTACGTCGACAATCTGTTACTGCTACAACACATAAACGATGACACCATAACAATATGAATGCAAAAATTTGATAACAAGTATGGATTCTAAGAGCAAAAATACATTTAAAACTTATAAGAGCAAAAATAAATCTTGGTAGTTTATACATTTATGTGCACTTTTGTACATGTTGGTACTATTGGGTGCTATGCTGTTAAATTAATACCATTTTAAACTGTTTTATCAAATACATTAACAATTAAAATTTGTTCTTACAATTTTCTCTAAACATTATCATTGCTTTCAAGCATTTTCTGTACTATTATCGACTTTAAAATTAAGTCAGTAGTATTAGTTAAAAGCATTATTGTATACAATTACTGTTTTCTATGGGTATTTGTATTTTCACATCAGAGGTACAGTATATGTATTGTGAAGGACACACTACTTTTAAACAATTTAAAAATAAAAATATGCAAAGTACATAAGTTCAACACTCACTAAATGACTAACACTTTATTTCAAATTTAAAAACCAACCATGTTCAACCTTGTTACATATTATGTCCCAAATCCTACTGAAAGTGATCAACTAGATAAAGTTAAAGTTAGCAGCATGTGACAACTATGTATAATTTCCAATACATGACACTTGGAAGAAAAAAAAAACATTAAATGCAATCTATACCTCATTCAGTGTAGTGTGTTATCTGTATGCTTTGCAACAAGAATAAAACAGATACAAATGTTCTTTTATATTCTTGAAAAATAATCAAATTATATATCCTAAGAAAAATACCATTCATTCTTTTGCCAACTGACTTTTCCTGACACAAACACAAATTCCTGGAATTCTACTGCTCTAGTATAGCTAACTCTTTTAACAATTCCAAAAAACATTTCATAACTAAGATTTATAATAAGTAGTTCTTTTTCCTTGGTTGCTTTGATTTGACAAGTGTATGAAAAATCCACTAATTTTTCATATATTTAGTTATTACATTGTTTTAAACATATACTTTATCCAAAAGGTCTGACCTAGAGATTTTAGAAACTTATTCTAGCTTAATTTTATAGAACAATGTATGCAGATGCATGAGGGACAGAAAACACAAAAGTCTATGAAAATGCACAATTCAGGAATGTGATTTTCTGGAATTTTGGTAATTTTTTTTTAACAAAATAAAAGAAATATGTATTCAATCTATTAAATTAATAACAGCAGTACTAAAACAAAGGAAAAATCATGTGAATCATGAAATAGGAACAACCGCCTACACTTCCATTTACAGTAGACATTTTAGGTTTGTTTTCACATAAACAGCAAACTAAAGCTTTCCACGAGATGCTATTTAAACTAACATATGAATCCACTCACTACAAAAATACTTGGCTTTTATATATGAAAAAGAATGATTTCAGTGTGAAGCATCAGCATAAATGACAGATTTGTATAAGCAGTTTTTTTTTTCAAACAGGAAATGGAATATGCATACGCCAGAATTATTCTTAATAAACTGTTTTCCTTTAAACATCCATCCTACTTATCAAATTTAGAAAAATCATTTGACTGATTGGGCTGTATTTCAAGTCTATAATTCTAAATATAAAATTTGATTGGTGGTAAGTAACTAGATATTAAGACTGGTGGTATAGAGCTATAAACAGTAAAAAAGATTCAAATACTAATTGTTTTTTCCTACAAAGACATTTCAAAGTACATGTTGCTAAGTGAAGAATGTACACTTATTAGGGAAAACGTAGAATGCAGCATTAAAAAAAAAACCTCAACATTCATAAATAATTAAAACAATATTTAAATTTTACAGCTTAGAATTTTGAAAAATGGAAATATTTTATTTTGCCTTATTACTGTAATAATTACTTATTTTTCTGAATCTATTTTCACTTTGTTCCCAGTTAAAGCAGGATGTATTTAACCCTTTATCATCTTCATCCATATATTTATGCACGCTAGACATCATCTCCGCCTGTACATATACAATAATGGAAAAACCCTTCTTTGGATGATAAAGGGTTAAACAAATTTGGAATGCACAGTGAGAGAGTAAAGAGCAATTTTAAAATAGGAAATCACTAAAATAATATTTTTATCTACGTTTGAAAAGTAAATGATAGGTTTACAAATTCTTTATGATAATATGTTCCATTAAATAGTCTGGATAAGTCCATAAGATGACTGGCTTACCAAATACTTGGATTTTGTACACAGTTTACTCTAAACTTAAACCAATTTAGACAATTATTTATTATTCTACTTTTATATTTTATTTCTATAACATTGTTTATTCAAAACACTAAACAATACATATGCTACAGTGTTTTACATTTATTGTTCAAATAGTACTTAAGTTCACTGAAAGAACTGTGAGGAGTTACACCATTGAGTTCTTATGCTTTATATATATATTAAATATACGAAAAACAATATTTTGGGAAAGTAATTTTTGAAACCCCTGAAAATACTTAACTTTCTTAGCTCAATGGTATATACAAAATTACATATTATAATTATTTTAAGTACATTCCTACACTAAATAGTATTGGATTACTTTAAACTCGATATAAACATCCAGTCTTTAAGCAGGGGAAAATCTCAAATTTTGTCTTTAAACAATAACAAAACTGAAACCTTGTTTTTATGAAACTGATGATCCTGCATTATATATAAAATCAAAATTAACATAAAGACAGTAAATCTACACTAAATACTATATATGCAAGTCATCAATTAATATTTCAATCTTAAATGATTATGTAGGGAAATGGGAAAGATTTACTGTAGCATTGAAATCTCAGATAGTTATACAAGTCAAATTACATTTACAGTTTAGGAATTATATGTTGATGTTAATGTGCAGTACAAGTATACATTACAAAAATGTCAAACAGTGTTACTAAAATAAAGAAATGGTGCTTTTGATTAAACCATATACATACAAATAATGAAAAGAAGAACATGTTCAACTAATATTAAGCAGAGCAGTGTGATCGTTGACTTGGCTGGCTTTTAGCACTATTCACAGGATCAGATGATGCAAGGGGAAAACAAAAACCTACAAGATGAACACAGTGAATACATATCTGTATGATGCAGGAGGATGAGTACATGTATAGTAATCGCAACAGATCTAGATGAGCAGGGAGACATAATTTTATGAAACATCTTGATCCTCAACATCTTGAACCTGTTCTTTCTGTTTCTCTTGGTTTTCTTCATCTCCTGTGGTAAATAAAAATAGAGACTGTTATTACTGTTATCTATATGAATTCTTATAGAAGCAGTGATCTTCCTGTCACTTTCAAGTTGATTTATATTCATGGCTATGATCCCTCACTTTGAACTACTGACCAGGGGAAAGGCAACTAACCAACAACATCTTATCACCCATGCTAAGGGATTGACTTTCACTCTTATAATGCCCCTAGAGCTTAAAGTGCGAGGAACACCTTGTGTATCACACAGATTCGACCCAAACTTACCAGCTCCAAAACTTAGAGCTTCAACATAGGGCCAACCTATTCAAAATGATTTTCTCACTTTTCTAATATGAATCAGTCAAAATACAAAAAAAAAAGAAGTACCGAATGCTAGAAGTCTGCTACGATTCTTGATATATCTCATTTATAGATATGTATATATTTTTATATAAGCATGTGACATTACATTAAATGAACATAACAATGGCAAAAGAACTATATTTAACTTCACTTACAATTTTATGTTTAATTTTGAAACTAGTGCAGTAAAAACTGAAATGTTAATTTTCTTTTCTGAAGTATCCCATTTTTATAAATTCATTATCTACATATGGTTGCACAAAAGCCAATTATTAATATCTAACATTACATTTACATATTTTGTCAAAATTCATAGGTATGTGTTGAACTGGCAATTTCCTTTTTGTACTATGTCTACATACTGCTATGCAATAAAAATCTTGATTACTTAAAAGTAATTTTTTTTGTTATATGTAGTTATATTCCATTTTAGTTTGAAATCCTCACACTTTTTCAAGTTACAAAATGTTTGAAGCACATAAATTATAGTAAAAATTTAGATTTATATGAATACTTTTTTCTTAATTGGAACAAAGCTTGAATCTTTTATATAAGCAGAATTTTATGAGATTTTTTTTTCTTAAGTGCACAAAACACATATAAAACTATCAATATGCTTAAACAGCTATCACATTGGTTTAACAGTTCACTTTGTAGTAATTTCTACAGTCATTTATATATGTTTTATTAAGAATGTTATTTATACTAGATACAGGTAGAACATAATGGAACACGTTGATTTTTTAACCATTAGGCTAGTAGTGTAGTACCATTAGTGTCGTATCTGAACTAAAGTTCACTGTTTAACTCTTGCACTACCATTGGCACATGTATAACTCTTCTAGAGCTCTATCGTGAAGTTTTGTTTTACCAACACGAAGAAAGGTATGTTTAAATTTTCTAAAATTTAGAAGTTTTAGATGAGTAATGAAATATTCAAACATGTGTCTTTCATTTCTTTATTTTAACCTAAAATACATTTAGCACTGAGAAAGTTATTTTATCTATAAATGTACTTGGGAAACAGTTAATCTACATTAATACATTTTGTGGTTAGTTATACAATACATTAAATTGCTACTGAAGCAAAAATCACAACCTTGAATTAACAATGTAATATAAACAAGTGGAAACGTTTACTAGAGCCTTTGATTAAAGACATGTCTAAATTTTAGTTGTGAATAACACAGTTCTAAGGGAATAATCATAAAAAAGCCTACAGAAATTAAAACTTTTTTTATCAGTTGAAAGACATAGCAAATATCCTTGTATATCTTTTCTTTCTTTTTGGCACATCTGAGCCATAAGTATGGATTTCACTTTTCAAATAGCCATACAAATTAAGGCAGTGACTTCTATTAGGCAAACATGGTCCACAAAACATAATAAAGAAAAACATGACCTAACATATATTAACTACTGATCAAGCCAACTTATCTACATCGATCAGAACTAAATATATATATACAAAGTAACGAACATAGGCAATCAAATATCATGATCAAACTATAATGATTAGAATGTACTTATTAGAATTTCAAATATAATCTTCTTTTTCACCAACTGTCAAAATAAAAGGCTTTTACTTATGTTTTTTAATAGTATAAATGTCAACTATCTTTTCTATTTCTATTGCACTAGTATTCTGTGTGTGATTCACTTACAATTGTGGCACGAGTACTGTAATCGTTTAGGTCTTCTTTCTTCTAAATATCCTCTGTTCCTTTTGTCAACGTGTAATCAGACTGATTCAATTACTTTAGAACCAATAAATTCTTCTTCTTATATCCTTTTCTACTGTTAGTCTTACTCTAATATATTAAACGTTAGGCCTCTGTCAATCATTAAGCCTATCACTTCTAAGGTAGTTAATTCCATGCCAGACTTTTCCTTGGCCTGTAACTTTACTCTTTTTTGCTATTATTTGTCTGCTGTTTTGCTCGTCTCACACTATTTATATCTTTATCACTTAATCATGTGCCCACCTTCTATATTCTCGACGTAAACGTATTGCACGTGATGTTCGATAGTCTCAACATCAATGAATTATTAACAAAACTTCTTACAATCATCTGTTTTTAACTGTTATTATAACTAAAACTAAACAATAATATAATATTCACTCACAAAAAAAAAAGTAATCAATAATATCTAAACTTAAGTCTTTTATATCATGGCAGTACTGTTTTATCAATTGGGTACCCTCATTGTTAATGACATTTTTTGCTGTAAACCCAATAACAGAAGGCTTAGGTTGTCCTAAATCTACATACTAAGCTACGAATGCAGAAGAATCATTATGATAAAACAATAAACATAAAATAAAATTAGAAATAATAACCAATAAGGGAGATACAGTGTCTGCATTGTGAAAAAGTTTCACTTGTTCAGGCCAGTGTCCAAGTATGAATTATACTTGGCTTGACCAGCTTAGATTAATCTTAAATCCATAATCTAAGATATGTAAAATTACCTTTATTACAATAATAATAATTACAATTAGTTGTGATAAATATACAGGAAATAAAAACAATGGTGGTCGCAACATCATAGTCGTTCTATATTACCTTAAATAATTAGGTAAAAACTTATAAAGTGTGGACATGATAGTTTTTAATAGGTTGTAACATTCAGTAAAACTATGAAGCCCATTACCTGGCAGCAAGAAAATTACAGAATTTCCCATAAAAGTGAAAAATGCTTGAGAATAAACTTTGTTTGTTTAAAAAATGATGTGTTTATTAACTATGACCATAAAATCTTGTAACGTTGAACAAATCCTAATGTATCTAATAACCTACAAATAGTAAAAATCTGAACATTGTTCACAATTTTTTACATAGATTATTTGTATTTGATTAATGCACTTCTAAACAGAATGTAAATAGTCATAATCTTGCATTAATCTCTACCTCAGGTTATAGTTAGTTACTGCACTGAAATTAGGGTCATGCCAAGTAACGGGTGGTAAAAACGTTTATATGTGTTAGTATGAGCTGAAAGTTTATCTCCCCCTTGAATACTTAAAATAGGAATGATCACAAATGTAGGTAATCTAAGAATGTGGGATACAGCACTAGGACTTTGGTATAACTGTGCAGCATATGCATAATCGTTTTCTGTCTTGTGTTTCCTTGTCCATCTCCAGCAGCCAGATTGTTTAAATCGGCTAATAGGCTTTCCACCAATGTTTAATAATACATTTTGTCCAGTGGCTACAAGAAAGATTATATTTTGTTCTTGTGCTTTTGCATTACTAATATACTCATGCCTGTATGGCCCTATATGGTTAACTTGTCCAATCCAGGAGGATAATTGTGCAAATCCAGGCAAATATAATGCACTTATTTCCATAACAAGTAAAATTATAACTGATATTTATTCTTTTTACATTTCATGCTTTACTGTTCATGTTTGATTTAAAAGTTTTTGCTGTTTTTTTTCTCTTTTTTTTTTATGCAGGTATTTAATTTCATTTGTTAGAACATGTCAAATAGAAAACAGGATTACCATGAGACTATTATGTGTCTGGTCTGTAAAACCAAGCCATGACCTAAACTTCCACTCCAATCTTTTAAAGGCAAATCAGAAAGTGGCAAACAAACATGTTGCTCTTCATGATCAACCAGACATTTTCAGTTTTTGCAAAAAGTAACAGCTAGAAGAGGGAGAAATTTCTGATGGTCAAGAAGAAAAAATGATGCTGACACTCAAACTCAAGCTTCATTCCAGTGGGGAAGCACCCAAAGATTTTGCCCAAAACTAACTTACACTTATTTGAATCTAATACTCAAGTTGAAGACTAAGTTAAATGACTATGTTCAATCTTTAGAGCCAACTCCTGCAGTGACTAAGTTTGACTCTCCTCAGCAGCCTATTTGTCTATAATTTCCTCTTTCAAAATTTGGTACACAAAATCATTGCTTCAACCCTGAATGCTATAAGGAGCATCCTTGGATTTTTTTTACTCCATTGATGTAGATGAAGTGTCATGCTTTTCTTGTGAAAAATTCTGCAGTGATAAAGAGAAGAAATTCACCTTCGAAGACTTACAACATCCTAACTTCCTCAACCAGCATTCTACAGCAAAGGCTCATTCAAATGCCGTGAACGAGTGGATGTGTAAAAGGAACATGTCTGACCATGGTACAACAGTTCTACAAATGCAAGAAACTAAACATTACAATCAAAGGAAAGAAAACCATGATTATTTATGTGCTATTATTGATGTAATGTTCCATTGCATTCAGTAAAACATTCCAATGCATGGCAACAATGAGAATCTCAGTAATCTTAGAAAATTGAATGCCCAAAACGAGGGTAATTTTCTGGAGTCAGCTTTTGATTCCAGGACCTTCCTTAGTTGAAAGAAAAACTTCAGAAAATGTTTTTTGCTCATATGCAGTGGACATCTCCTGAAATCCAAAATGAGCTGATCAACTTGAGAACTGAATGAGTATTCTGGCACATAACACAGAACATCAAAAGTGTTGGACAGTTTAGCATTATAGCCAATGAAACCAGCAATATTGTCCAGCAGCAACAAGTGTCACTCTACTTCCATTTAATGTACATGGGAATCGTCAAAGAACGTTTCTTTGGGTTTTATGACACTCTTTCAACCTGGACTTGACTTATTAAAATTTGTCCTCAAAGATCACGACATTGACTTATCAAACTTAGCTGCAATGAGACTACGAGTGGAGGACTAAAGGGTGTTGTAGAATGAGTTCAAGAAGTGTCGAATGCCCTTTATGTTCACTGCACATGCCGTTATCTAACTTGGTATTGCAGGCAGGTATGAATCAGAAAGAAATCCTGCACAACAGCTTCGGAACAATCCAATCTCTTTACAATTTCACCGAAGTACCTCCAAAATGACTTGGAATATTTCAGGTATTACTCTGAAATCACAGTCAAACTTGCTGGTCTTGTCACTACACCGCAGTAAAGCAATGCCTAGCTTCAGTGGCAGAAACACTTTTGATGTTAAAAAGAGTCATCTTCAAAACTAATGTCTGAATCTTGAAGTATTCTTTTCACCATTCTAGACTACAAATATATTATCAGCCTGCTGATTCTCGAATTTATTCTGTCACATGTTAACTCCCTCTTGCATTATATACAAACAATGAATCTTGATATAGGCACAGCTCAAGCAACTGTCATCAAAACTCTCACAATCCAGAAAACAGCTAAATACTTTAGAATTTTAAGGGAACTCGCAGACAAATATACAATGGAAGTGAATATTGTGAAAGAGAAGTTTGATGAAAAATCTGAATATGTGTTTTGAGAGACATGAATACCTCTTATTCACACTCGCTCCAACAGACTTCAAAAACTAGGAGAACCGTCACAGGTACCAACTGTATATAACGACACTTTCTCATTTTATTTGAACAAACTTTATTAACCTGCAATTGACAGCATTACCAAAGAAATGCAAATGTGATTTCAAGAAAAGCTGTCAAAGGTATTGTTGGCTCTTGCAGATGTTGTATCATTGGCTGCCGAGGAAGATATAGAAAAGATTCAAACAGCTTCATCTTTCTATGGTATTGATTCTTACCTTGTTTTAGCTGAGAGGCATATACTGTCCAGCATGGACCCTCCAGAAAACATTCCTTTCACCAATCTGTCATCTTTGGTACACTGAATATTGATGTGTTTAAAGTTTGACCTCACGATGGTCAACTTTTGAAAAAATGTGCAATCATAGCTGTTACCTCCACAAGTGCAGAAAGATCTTTCAGTGGTCTCTGCCACATTCTCACCTATTTGCATTGCACGATGAGTCAGGAAAGGCTTCAAAATCTGGCCATAATTTACTGCAATAGAGCTTTTGCAAACAACATCCAAGTAAGCAATATAGATTGGATTATTGACTCGTTTGGTAAATGGAGCAATCGAGAAAAACATGTTTTCTAAAACTGCAAAGTGCATCTGTTTCGTCATATACATATTGTATGAATAGTTGTGAACTTTTGATATGTTGTTTCAAGTTTCATTTTTACTTATAAAAAGATACATTTCATTTGTTTTGAGTTTTGAAGTATGTAAAAAAAATATTTGTATTTTTGATTGTTAATTATGATGTTTGTCATAGAATAAAGTTTGGAGATTATATATACACACACACTTACGTTTCTCATTAATTTGCACAGGTGTTGTCCATTTTTTATCCATTTTAAAAGATAAAATGCTTAAAATCACTGGGGGGAACTTACAGCACTTCCTCAAAACCCCTAATTATAGGCCTCACTGAACATGGCATAAGTAAACTCTGAGCAGAAACATACTGAAGCCATGTTTTTTGCAACCTTCCCCTATGGCAATGGATATACTTAGTAAACATCAGTGAACCTTAATATCATACTATTTCTACTTCTTTATATACTTCTAATGAGGTTTATGGTTTACACATCATGGCAGATGTGTAGCATTACTGATGAACTGAAATATGTTTAGTGCTAACAGTTGTTCATGTTAATATAAATGAGACACTATTAAAATTACTTCAGTAAAATATTTTTTTAGTAAGATCAAATTCAGTTAGACATTCATTCAAGAAACTTGTAAAAAAAAGAAGCAAATAAAGGTATATCTACTAAACCTGTCACTCCAAATATGTTAAAAGAAGAAAAATCAGCTTTATGAATAATTGGAAAAACCTGTAGTTAAAAAAAAGTACCATGTATGAGCATAGCTGAGAAAAACACTACTAAATATAAACTATTCAGATCTGAATTTCTGAATGAATAAAAAACACTAGTGAATAGAATTTCACTCTGTATATTGTAGTGTAATTCACTAAAACTTTAAGATCTTATACTATCACAAACACATCCTAGTCATATGCTGAATGTATCGCAATCTTTTAATATACTTAGCTTGGCAGATCTAAGTTACCCAATTTTTTTCTGTATAACATAAAATCTATTATCTTACATTTCTATTAATACTATCCTTTACATCTTTTTAATACAAATAAACCTAAGATTTGCCTTCAGATAAATATTTGAATTTGCCTGCAGTTACCTTGAAAAATCTAATCAAGTTCAAATTTTAATGCGAGATTTCCTTGCATGTCTAGCCGATGCTATAATTCAGATTTATACCTTCAATCACATATTAATGTGTATTTAAGGTTAATAACAGAGAGTATGGATGTTATGAGTTCATAGTTCATTAAATCCTCAATGCTTTGACACTACTAACAAAAAATAAGATGAATTTTTAAATAACTACCAGTTTAATGAAACAATAGTAGAATCTGAAGTATATCAACATAGCCAATAATAACAAAACAAGTAAACACACATTTTCTAAATATTAAATTTATATTGTCTTATTAAATCATCAAGTTTTCAGATAACCTTCATTTATACAATACAATAAGCAGATCTTGCGATAAATATTCAGTATTAATTACCCACCAATACTTCCATGTTAGCATGTCAATGAAAATAAGACCTGAAACAAACACTGCTATTTTTATAAATCAAATTTACATTTCAAACCAACTTCTCACAAATTAATTTACGTGTAATATGTCTTTTCAACAGATATGCACGTACTTTTACTCTGTAACCATACAAATGTTACGAATTCAGACGGATATACATATTCTTACAGAAGGTGAAATATTAAATATTACTTCTTTGTCTGCTAACATTAAAGTATAAAAAAATTACCATCGTGCTGCATATCAGATGTCCATAGAGTAAGATTATCCCTCAGGAGCTGCATGATGAGGGTAGAATCCTTGTAGCTTTCTTCACTAAGGGTATCCAATTCAGCAATTGCATCATCAAAAGCAGCTTTAGCAAGACGACAGGCTCGATCTGGTGAGTTAAGGATCTCATAATAGAAGACTGAAAAATTTAGAGCAAGTCCCAAACGTATTGGATGAGTGGGTGGTAGCTCAGTCATTGCAATATCACTTGCAGCCTTGTATGCCACCAAACTATTTTCAGCAGCTTCTTTCCTATCATTCCCTGTGGCAAACTCAGCTAGGTAACGATGGTAGTCTCCTTTCCTGTGCCATAAAAATTAATGAATCCAGCAAACTTCAAATAAATATAATCAAACAAATTACTGACATTTCTGAAGATGACAAACAAATAGGCCTTGGTTAAGCAAGTCTTAAGAACTCTGACTTCAAAAAATTAGAAGAAAAAGAAATAAAGGAATGCTTTGCTTAGAAAAGAAACTACTTAACTTAAACATTTATTTAACGTGAACTAAAGTAGACTAATCTAAGTTTGAAATGAATTTTATTTTATTTTTCACTATTCTTATAAAAATAACTTTTCTAAAGCCTGCATACTTAATAATCAAAAGTATGCATCACGAATTATGTAACTCGTATATTATTGTTTGAAACATACTTATCACTTTAAAAATATACCTGTATTTGTAAAAATATTTTATTTCAAACTACTAGGATGCAATTTTTGTGCAAGTTGAAAATGGTATGAAATTGAAATATACAAAATATAACAAACTAAACAGTTCACTTTAAATTTATGCTGGTTTCATAATTTTCTCCTCAAATTCTTCAGCTATAAACATCGATGTACAAGTGAAATATATTTATCATCAGAAGATAAAATTTCAATGGTTTGTCATATCAAATAATGTTGGAGGCTACACAGAAAATCATAAGGTTATATAAGGTTAAATATCAGGGATGCACGGGTACCTGTCCAGATATTTGTATCCGGCTGGGTATTGGGCCACCTGGTAACACTCGGCTCCAGCCGAATGTCAAAATTAAAAACAGCCGAATCCAGGTAATTGAAAATGGCATCTAAGCTCTAATCTTTGTGGCAACTTACGCGGTACTGAAAGTTACATTCAGTAATTGGTTTAGTTAAAAAAAAAAAGTGTTCCGAGCAACAAAGACTGACTGCCTGTTGAAAGTCGGGGATTCAGAGAACAATAAGGGTTAATATAATAACAGGCATGGCTTGAGAAGTGGATTTCTGGGTAAGGTGGGGGTTTTGAGAACAATAGAGGTTAGGGTTGAGAAGTTGGGGCAAGGCATTAATCTGCATAGTGATTCTAAAATGTGTCAACATTACTGTTTCTGCGTTTACTTTCACTGGCCTCAGAAACTGCATGAAGTTGGTAGTAATTTTCAATCTTTCTACCTCAATAAAGATTAAATTTCAAAGTTGTCAGTTTCATTAGTTTCCACCCTATATATCGCTGTTGCCCCCAGGCATTTCAACTAAGTTCATCACCACTTCTCACTGTCATGTAAAGTTTAATTTTACCTTGTTTTAATCAAAAACATATTTTAACTTGCTATTTTAGTAATTTTTCATTCCAACGATATACATGGCCAGCTTGGTCTGGAGATATTTTGTGTTGGAAAACAAGGTGGATCGTTTCACAAGGTGCACTCTTTGCTCCACCATGATATCTAGGGGTGGCACATCACTCAAGATGCTTGGAACCAAATTGCTGAGAAATCATCTCGTTTCATTTCATAAAGACAAATTTGCAACCATGCAGAGTGACGAAAACAGGAAAAGAAAACGTGACAAAGATGCTGCTGCTGAAATTTCGATGGCCAAGAGGAGTAAAATGCAAACTCTCAAGCAATGCGTCGTTGATTACTCGTGCCATTCAGTTAAATGTAATAAATGTCAATTTTGTTTTTGTTTCTAATTTTTGTGTATGTTTTTTAGTTGTTGTCTGTTTTGTTTTTCTTTGGGGGGGGGGGGGAGAACCCAGTTCTGGCTGACACTTGGCCCTGGGCAAAGCTAAGTGTCCGAGTTCCCGGACCCAGTATTCAGCCAAATTTTAATACCCGTGCATCTCTATTAAATATAAATTGAAATCATGTGATGGAGGGGGGAATGTTTTGGAATTTTATGTTCTTTAATTGCAGCAGAAAAGCTAGAATCTACAGAATATATCCATGAAATTACAAAAAAAGAAACAAATACAAAATTCATGTTTGACAAGACGAAGCATATAATAAATACAACTATAACATATATTGCCCTGCCAGGAGCATATGGAGAACTATTAATGTGTGAAATAGAACCCTCCAAATAAAAGCTCTACAAGAGAAATCAGTGAATTTAAACATCGATAAACACAAGATTGTTTTTTTTAGGAATACCTGATTAGTAAAATTTGCTAATTGATTAACCCCATGCATATAAGTGAAATCAATTTCATCGATGTTGCAACCACCACTTATAACTCTGAATGTACTAAGTGTATCTTCAAAAAATTTGGCAAGTTGTCAGTAAACATTACAAGTATGTTGCATAAAACAAACAGATTTTTTAATAAAGTATTTTTACTAAAAATTTGTCTGTAAATTTATGAAGTATTTACTATGCCATTATGAGTGAAAGGTGATATTCAAGGTGAGAATAAAATTATTTCTTTTTGTCTTCCAGCTCTTGTATTGTATTTGCATAATCTTTAGAACCTCCAAAGTGAAAATTGAAAATTTTCTGGTGAAACTTAGAACATTCTCGCTTATTTTCTCTAACATTGACTGTAGTTAAAGTTGAAAAATATGAAATCAAATCAAAAGTACATATTTTTTCTGGAATCACTGAAGATTTAACAGACAGAATTATTCATCCTAAACAGCCCAAATCTCCTAAGAGTTTCACATCTACTTTCGTTAATAGTCATAAAAGTTTATTATATATAAAAGCTAAAAAATAATATGTGATTAATATGCCTAGATATTTCAGGGGAGCTAAGTAAGAGTTTTTTCCCTTCCCAATTTTTAAAAAATCACTGAGATAGAAAAAAATGAGTATTATTTTCAAAATTTTAAAAAATCACTGAGATAGAAAAAAATGAGTATTATTTTCAAAATCTGCATAGCTGAATTATGGAAAATCTGTTATTAAAACCAAAATTTGTATAAAGTTTAAATCTGCAGACCTGGGTAATTCATGGTGCTTTCGAATATGCATATTGCAACACAAAATATATATCAGACAGAAGAATAGAATGACCCAAAACTACTATAATTTACCTGGCTTTCTAACTAACCTATAAATAGTTTAAAATATTTCATTATTGTTCAGAGCAGCATCTATAGTTTAAACACACCAAGCTCTGATAGAGAAATATTAGATTTACTGTTAAACCAAAACAGACAAAATTCTGTTTTATGTAGTTTAGAATTTCCTGTAGATATGGGTTAGAGACATGTCCAATAATAATATCAGAAACAATTATAGACATTTCTTAAAATATAAGGGATATGGAGAAAAGTGTCAATGTGGGGTTGAACAGTGTTATCTCAGCAGAGCAACAAGAGGTTGAAATTTTATATTCTGACTATATTATAGTATGTGTTTCTAACTGAGCAAATTGAAGCCCTTTTTAACTCTTTTGCTGCTAACTCGGTGAATTACACCAACCATGTGACACCAAAACACCAAAGTTACCACTGAAGGTTCCATACTGTAACTTTAAACATTTTGTGTATATGTGTTTTCTTATAGCAAAGCCACATCGGGCTATCTGCTGTCTCCACCGAGGGGAATTGAACCCCCTGGTTCTAGCATTATAAATCCAAAAAACACCCCTGTCCCACCAGGGGACTGTTTTGCGTATCTTCCCGAAATTATTCAAGATTTTGGTAAACATTAAGTCTCTTGTAGACAAAAAATCAGAATCTTCAGTGAAGGATTTTCACTGTAAACTCTTCCATGAATATATGGAGTCAGAGTGTTGACTGCTTCAAATGCAAAGTGATTTTAATATTAAGATTAAAAATACTATTCGTCATCAGAAAATTTTCAACTTTTATTTGCATAATCCCTAAAACCTCCTTAATAAATATCAAGCAATTTTTTTTTCAGACACTTTATATTTCATCTACCCTAACTCTATATAGGGTCGGTCAATATGACTGACTATATAACCATCACAAAACCTTAAATGTTGAAAAATTCAAAATAAAGTGAACAGTAATGTTGACCACAAAGCTCTAAAGTACTTCTGAGAGTTTCTAGTTCAAACTTTTTCACATCTACTTCCTATGTTTATTTTGCTGTTAGCAGCTGAAGTAGAAACATGCTGATCATAAAACAATGAATTAGAATATTTACTTGACATCATAACACAATATCATCAGTAGCAAACAAAACTGTGCAGTGCAATTACCAGATCTTTCCCACACAGTTTATCATAATCTTGGCTCCAAGAACACCATGGAAGATGATTTATCGGCTTGTTTATAGTTCTGTGGTTGCAATGAGAATTGTCTAAATTAATAAAAGTGTGTGAAATGTTTATGACATGGGATATGGCTTAGTAAAAGTCTGTATTGATCCAATAAACTTGGTAGGTATTTGGACATTAGTTATCCTCCTGGGGTAGTTGGAATTAACAGTATAGGTGTACAAAGTATTTAAATGCTTATGAACATGTGTGTGTGTATATATATATATATATATTATTACTATTTACTCATAATTGCTTAATCTGTAGTTTATTTTTACTTAAAACATATCAATAAATAAAAATATAAAAGAAAAACAATGATTTCTACTACTTATGATGTTACACTTGTTAAGCCTTGCCCTAAACCTCATTTAGTCTCTCAAATGGAGGGAGAGGACAAATGAATTTTGGAGATTTCAAAATATGCCTTTTAGAAAACCAAAAAATAATCAAATGACCATACTGGTACACATAACAACACTGTAATTTATCTGGCTTTCTAACTGAGCGATATGTGGGTTTAAAAGAAACTAATTTCTGTTCAGAGCAATGACTAACATTCCAGTCAAATTACAAGTTCCCCTTTAAGCCAGTTACAAATGACTTTCAAGTTTAAGTTATGTGGAATTTGCTTTTTCTATTGGTTATAAACATGTACTTAAGAGAAGCAGGCAGGAGCAGAGAAGAGTTTCAAAAGAATGGAGTTTTAGGCAAGGTTTCCCTGGTTGGTTTTTAAAATATTGATATCTCAGCAAATCAAAAAGGTGGGAGGTTCATATTTTATATTCTAGCTTGGAAATATCTGAAGTTTGAATTTCT